TCTTTAATGCAGATGATTTATTCGGTGATGATGTATTCAGTGAAGTCAACGCAAAAAAACTAAAGATAATCTTTCCTTGCAAAAAACCCTTTGGTCTGATTTGGAACAAACACATACATGTCAAAATATCAGAATTTACAGGGGGGTGAAAATTACAGTTTTCCAATCCAGAGATTGGGGTAACTTTGCATGCAGATTGTTTCCTGTCATACAAAAATAAGTTATAGCCTCATTATTTTTTGTCAGCTTTGTGGAAGAAATAGCTTTTTATGGGGACTTTATGGGTAAGGAGTGGTCTGGGAAAGGGACTCCATACATAGATTGTGTATGTGTTGTATTATTAAGTATATTCTTCAATAAAACAGCTGCAGAAAGGATACAAAATAGTTCCGACTTATACATAATAGTCCCATCCAATGAGTAATCCCACGAAAGTCCATGGAATCAATTACATGCATGGGGACTAATTGAAGTTATCATTGAAGAATCAGACCCACTTTGTTTACGATTCTAGATTTTGTCGACTTATGAATATACAGTGAGTCAGTGAGCTAAATACAGCCCTTGTGCCATGAAAGTGCCTTAAAGTAAATGGATGAAATGGCACTAGAGACAGTGTGTTCTAAATCTCAATTACAAACAGCAGCAAGTATCAGAACTTCAGAAAAAAATGAAAGGAAGATTTCACTGCTATGTACTCAAGCTTGTGTGTCAAAGTAGTGGATGTCCTCACTGCCCCCCCACTATCCAGGACTGTCCGAGCCCTGAGCCTCCCACCCTCCGGCACCCTTTAAGGAGGGTGGGGAGGGCTAACACTCTTCCCCCCTCCCCCGATTCATATGGAAACATTGCTGGCTGTCCCCCTTGTCAGGGAGCGAGGGGAAAGTGCACAGTTTGCTGCATTCCTCCCTCTGGCTGGGGGACACAGAGGCAGATGTGCCTGCACCTGCCCCAGCTGGGAAAGACTCACCTTTCTCTGTCTGTGCCTCCTGGAGTTGTAACAATGATAGAGAGGATTCTCATTTGGCCCCAAACTGCGGTGTTGAGAGAGAACTAGCATAGTATTCTAGCTCCAGGCCAGCATGTATCCTGAACCCCTCATCCCTAGCCCCATCCCAGAGCAATGATTTAAATGAAGTATGTACATTTTTCATTTTATTTTTCAAAAACCAAATATTAATTGAGTTAAGGACCTGAGTAACGCCGAATGAAACTTCTAATTATACATATTGTATTTACTGTATGTATAAAAAAGT